TATATAAATATATAAATATATATATGTATATATGTATATATGTATACATATACCTAAATATAATAGTAAAAAAAGGAAAATTCATTATTGTAGAAAAGCATATACATATGAAGAAAGACGCGAACGTTTAGACAAATTTCACGAGCTTAATATCAGTCCTTAATAATTTTCAAACGTATGAAAAGATTATAGGACATTGGTACCGCATTAGCACCCATTCTAAGTCCGAAGACATGAAATTTGAGAGAGAAAGAAAGAAAGAAAGATAAAGAGAAGAAGAAGAAGAAGACAAAAAAGTAGTAACGAGAAATTTACAATAATGAGACAGTGACGATGCCTTGTACTGCTTGTATGTTAATTCTATTAATTCTAGATATAATAATAATAATAATAATAATAATAATAATAATAATAATAATAATAATATACGTAGTAGAAAATATCTATTCGCTTTTAGGATTATCGAGTCGAAACGAAGTCAACGAAGTACACACCGAAATTGGCACCCTGAGCTCTGGAAGTATTATACTTTTAATATTGGCTATTCGTGATTCAGGATCTTCTGTAATTCACGTTGAAACTTAACAATAACACAGAGACAACACACGATAAAGGTACATGATAATTCCTTCGTTTTAAGATACCTTAAACGTTGCGGATAATATTATCTTATATTACGAATGAGACATTTTTGAGGAATCTTTCTTTCCAGTTAACGTTGTGTTCACCTTGTAAGCGTTACCCTTCGATTCAGCCGGATGTTTGTGAGTACTCGTCGATGACTTTCTCGGTGGCTTAGTTATTTGTGTCGTTGATAATCCACTTACAGGGTATTTATTCCTATTGGAAGAGCTCATTCCAGTACCGCTTCTGGAACTGCTTTTAACAAGGCCCGAGGAATTTGATTCGCTAGGATGTTTAGGCATTACGAATGCATTAGTTTGTTTTAACAAGTAACGATCGTTGCATAGGGCAGATATCAATGGAAGATCCAAGTTCCGACTCTTCTCACGCAAAGTTCGAATGTCTAGCATTAAATCTTCTTTTCCACCTTCGGGCTCCTCTTCAGGTGATAATTTCATTAATTTTTTCGATGATACGTTTTCCGGACACGCAATGGCTGATGGTAACGGTTGATTTTCATCAAGACTCTAAGAAATTGAGAATAAAACAAAACAAATGAATTAATATATTAAACTTTGTAATTAATAGTATTTAATTCAAGTAATTAAATGTTATCGAATCTTACTTGTATTTCGTATGGTGGTGGTGGAGGTGGCGGTGGTAATCTACGATGTTGCTTAGCATGTGGTAAAGATTTCATCTTTGTTCCTGACGGAGAATCGAAACATTTCAGGATATTATCGTCGCTTTTCGTTCTAGAAAACGTGTGCATAGTGTGAGGATGAACGAGAGTTGGTAGATCTCGTCTGAGACTCTGACTTCCAATTGAGGAGCATGTGACTCCACTGTATAAGGAGCTTGTACTGGCAGCGTAAGGGCTGCTCAAACTATTATGTAGTAGATAACTATTGGAACTATTGTCGCTGGTGCTGAGGTTTTGATTGGAAGCGTATTTCGATTGTGATGAGAACGAGGAACCGGGAAGGTAGGGTGTGCTACGATACATGAGTGCTGATTTATTATTGAATGTTGGATAAGGTGGTGGTGGATATGCAGCCATAGCAGCTAATAGAGATCCTTGTTTTGCGTCGATATATTCTTGTTTCGAGACTGCTGGATCCTTCAACGGGAACATCACGTAATCGACGTCTGAGTAGAGCTGCTGTTTGTACTGTTCTATTTGCGACCTGGCCACTTGGCTAGTATAAACGGTGGCTAAACTTGGTGGTGGTGGCGGTGGTTGTCTAGGATGTAACATCGGTGGCGGAGGAGATGGTGGTGGCGGTGGTGTTGGCGGAGGTGGTTGCGAACCTAAATAGGGTAACAATACCGGGCCACTTCGAGAAGCATGGACATCCAAATAGTTGTTAGGACCGACCACGAGAGCAGCAACGGGTGCGTGTACTGGTGTAGGTTTCATCTTGTCACCCGGATATGTAGGTGGTTGTATTCTGGGTGGTGCTTTTGGTAGGATCCGCGGTACATCGTTAATTCCAGGATTACACGAAAGATTCGGTTGACTTCCCGTAATAACTGCACTTATTTTCGCGGAAGCAAGTCGAGTAACGATATCCTCGTCGACTGTTGTAGGATAGAGAGCAGAAATTGTTTTCTGCCTACTATTATCCGACATCTCTGGATAAGGTGGCGGTGGTGGTGGTGGTTCTCTAGGTGTTACTGCATCGTTTCTAGGTGGTGTTGGAGGTGGTATCATAGGCATTCTTAACGTCAAACCCGTAAAATCAGCCCGACTGGCGTGATAAGGTGGTGGGGGTGGAGGCTCTCTTTCAACTTTTGGTATTTTTAATCTTGACGAATGTATGGGCGAATAATCTATCGTTACTGGATATGGGGGAGGAGGTGGAAGTTGTCTATCACTATCAGTTCTAGGTGGTGGAAGTGGAGGTGGCATAGTGACATAATCACAATCGGAATCCATCGAGTTACTGATTGTTTTACGAGGTGGATAACGTCCCACTATCAAATCGGAAAGTTCGTCGGCAGATAACAGTGGCCCAACGTTTGAAGGATCACTACCGTCTCCTCTAAAACTTCCCGTACTTATTATACTGTTACTTCGTGATCTCGAATCTTCGAGTTTTCCATCGAGCGAGTCTACATTGTCAACTTCTTCGTCACCTTTGCAAAGACTGTAAATCGGTTCTTGATCTTCCGTTCCAATATCGTCCGTATAAATGTCGCTCGTTTCAGATCTCAAACCGCTGTGGATCGTGTAAAATCCTGAAGTTACGGAAGCCTCGTCGGTGGTGGATTGAACGGAACTCAATGCACAAACGTCGCTAGCTGCAGATGATTCATTAGTACCACCGGTTGGCGAATAAAGATCTCCAATTCTTTCGTCTTGCATCTCGCTACTTCTTAAGGTGTATACACCACTCGTTTCACTGGCAATGTCTGTACCTAGATAGATCAATTTATTAGAGAATCTATAATGTATCATTCGATATATCAATTGATTATACATCAGTATTATTTCTTACCCGTATATTTAACAGTCTTTCTGCATCTATCGTAGATAGCACCCGGGAAACTAGCAGTTTCCGAAGAAACAGCCGAATTCTGAGCGGTATGAGAATAACCGAGCTCCAAACTCGACGTGGCTGAAGTTCGACGCATTCTTTGAACTCCATTGTTAGATGAATTAGCAACGACCACTGTACTACAACTACTGCTGCACTGAGAACCATCAGCCACAGTGTTTGTACTTGAAATAAGTCGTAATGCTGATGAAGGTGTAGTTTCGGGACCGTCGACTTCTGGAAAGAAAATTCTAAGGTAAATGGTGTCTATTTTTTTGTGTTATCGTAGAAAAGTAAACACGCGATATGTAATACAATTGAAAACGTACCATCAACGATAGACATTGGTGGAGATGGTACTGAACGATCACCTGTGTTCGTTTCGTTAACTTTTGATATTCCAATTTGAATACTCGCATGAGAATTATTTTCGGTAAGGCGAGGTAAGCATTCGGTCGATGCTGGTGCTGTGTCCGGTTCATCTTCGCTGTGAACTCGATCGCTGACTATACCAGAAGTTGTATTTGACGAAGTGCTGGATATAACGGATATTCGTTGATCGCCACGTGCTCCACGCGTCGTTAAACTCAATTTGCAACGGGCTGGATACATGTAACAATCTCTCAACACTTTTCTCTCTGAAATATTCGACGAATTTAATATTCGCGATTGAAGGAAGAGGAAGAGGAAGAAGAAGAATAAGAATAAGAAAAAGAAAAAGAAAAAGAATAAGAATAAGAATAAGAATAAAAAGATTGCGAAGACGACGATGCGAAGAAAATTGAAATCATCATCTTCGTAAAATAATATAATGATAATAATAGAAATACGACGAGGTGACATACCTTCCTCTTCTCTTCTTTTCGCTTCATTTACTCTGGGTGCTATAGCCATGGAAAATTGATGGGTGTCTCGACATAATCCCAAGAGTAACTTGCTCTTGTCGTCGCAACCACTGTAGAGAGTGAGTTTGTCCGGTTGATCGAGCGCACGTATTTCAAACTTCTTGCGCTGTTAATAATAAGAAAATATTATTTAATACAATTGTTTGTGTTGTTCCCCAAATAATAAACAATTGATATTATTTATTTATTCTCGAGAAATGTAAATGAATTTGAATAACGTACGTCGAAGCAGAGTTTGTTGATATTGTTCCACGCAAAGATACGGGGTGTCTCCTCCTCGGCGTAGACTCGCACACCGCGAGCGCAAATCGCGAGGAGTATCCTTCCCGGGCCTGCCTCGTTTTTGCTTCTTCGCAACCGATATAGGTGAGCGTTGAGCGGCGCCTCCAACAACAACGCCTCCCGGATGTATTGGAGTTCTGCCTCCTCCCTCGAGAGCCCACGATTATCTCTGTGTTGTGCTGCGAGGACTGCGAGCACGCTCGATTCGAGGCACATCTGAAGTCCAAGAATCAAAACGAGATCTTATGATCGTAGAACGGATAACTGTCAAATTAAATTTATGCTACTCTGTTATTTGATCTTTTTCAAATGTCGGACGACCAATTTATAATGGATTTCTTCTTCTTCTGCTACTACTACTTAACGTTTACAAAATACCTCGGGTAAAGGAAAAAAGAGGAATACGAAAAAAAAGAAAAAAGAAAAAAAGAGAAAAGAAAAAAAGAAAAAGAAAAAGGGGGGAAAAAAAGAAAATAAGAAAAAAGAGCAAGTACAAATGGGTCGTACGTGAGGAGGAAGATAATCCGTGGGCTTGCAATAGCCGACGGATCCAGCGTGCGGTCTGTGTCGTTCTTCGGAGTAATCGCCAAGGTCGGCTTGGAGGGCGAGCCCAGCGAGCGTGAGCAATGGCGTAACGATCGAAGGTTCGTGAAGGGGATGGTGAGGATGAAGACTCTCCACTCCGCCGCCATGTCTAACGACGTTGTCCCGTAGCTGCAGGTAGTAGTGATGTCGTGTAGTTTCATCGCTGAAACGATTTCGAGATGATGATGATGATGATGATGATGATGATGTTGATGTTGATACAAGCCCAAGATAATATCTAATTGCTTCTAAATCGAGTCAACACAAACCAGCATMCCCTCCTCCTCCTCCTCCTCCTCCTCCTCCTCTCATTCTTATCGTCTTAACGAGTTAACTTTATTATTTAGATTATAACTTGTTCTATTCGGCTCAAACGTTATCTTACCTTAACAGCAATGGCGTGTCAACGTAGTAACGTACACGAAAATAAAGTATAAAAGCGGGCCTTCCGCTGCTGTCCAAACCCTGAAACCGAAAAGTAAGAAATTGAAGAAAAGGAATTCTTCAAAAGTCTTTCAAAAGTCGAGGTGTTGTAGAAAGCAACGGCACGACTCGGATCGGTAAGAGGGGCACCCGAATAAAAAGAAATGTAAGACGGAAGCCAGACACGGTAGCGAATATAATCGGTAGTCGAAAATTGGACATAGAAAGGGGACTCTTCTCTTCTGGTATTTTTTTTTTTTACTTTTTCCTTTTCGTTTTCTTTTATTATTTTGTTTGGGGAGGAGGACCTAGAGACGTGGATGAAGAATAAGAATAAGAAGAAGGGGCTAAGAATCGTAGGAAATTATAGCCGAGAGGGCGCATATTTTAGCAACTATAAATATTAATCCAGCATCAGATCGTGCATATTTTTCCCTTTCTACCAAAGGGGCCCCGGAGCCCTCTCTTTCATTCCCTTCTACTCTCCTTCTCCTCCTCCTCCTCCTCCTCTTCCTCCTCCTCCTCCTCCTCATCCTCCTCCTCATCCTCAGTCCTTTTCCGTCTCCGTGTCCTCCGCTCCCGTTCGTGAGCCTGTCCAAGGCCCCCTTCTTCCCTTCGGCGCCCGACCGAGCTACTCTCTCACCCTTCTTTGGAGCCGCCCTCTCCCAACACCCGTTCCCTCTTCTCTTGGCATCAGCGCGCACGCGGGATGCTTCCGAGAGTACAGTCTCTACTAAAATCCTACCAATTTTAAACCATCTCGACGATAAAACGAACGAACGGAACATGCGCCGGTAAGTGTAATTTCGTTTACAAACAAAAAAATATATATTACGATAAACAAAAATATATTTCATTCGATTTAATTAAAATTGGTCTTCAGATTATCAGGACTTACGTAAGTGTGCGAATTTCGCCAATTCTTCGGCGCGTACTTGTTTAATTTATTCTCTGGGTCCACGAATAGGTATTCGCCATCTGTAACATATAAATAATAATAATGATCTTAAATTATTATTATTATTACATATACGGTGAGATAAATATTTAATATAAAAATAGGGAGATAGAGAAGGAACTTAATAACAAATATTGTTTTACGTTTAGCTTGTAGTTTAATAATTAATGTTACGATTATAAAATGGAGAGAAAGATAGGATGATTAGGGTATAAGTATAATACGAGGTCATAGTTAGAGATCTATTATAAAGCAAGGGGAATCACTCGATGTCTTGGCTGACCCACATGAACTTGTACGAGTCACGCGTTCGAGCTCGCGCCTGTCCTGATATGGTTCTTCCACGCTTTGGTATCCATTCTTCTCCTTTATTCGAATCTTTTTTTGTTTCGAGGAGTGATCAGTCCGAAATACCAATGCACTCCTAAACGAGCGAAACAATGAAAGAACTCCTACTTCTTCTCCTCGCAGTGAGAGATGTTCTTGAATGAGAGGGAGACTTCCCGAAACTTGTCTTGGCCACATGGGGCCGGACACTCGTCAACAACAACGAGATACTTTTTCTTACCACGACTCAGGTTGCAAAATTTCGTCACCCTTACTGACATCCAACCATAATGATGATGATGATGATGATGATCAATGATCAATAATCGATCATCTCTCTAACGATAATTAATTGTAATAAATTCAAACCTTCCTAAATATACCATTGATCTTTGTTCAATCCAAAAAGGCAAATTAAAGAATGATAGAGCAAAAGGAAGAACAAAATATTATTTAACTTAATGTAGAGAAGATTAGGGTAGGAGTTAAACTGTGTGCTGGTGATGGGATTTGCTTCGAAAGATTCACCGCAGGAAGCCGTCTCGATTTCTATAATCAGCCAAACGACATGCTCGAAGCAATAATTAGCTCTTCTTCTTCTTCTGCAAGAATGAGAGAGAGAGAGAGAGAGAGAGGGAGAGAGAGAGAGAGAGAGAGAGAGAGAGAGAGAGAGAGAGAGAGAGAGAATTCAAGGGAGGAGAAAGAAAGAAAGAAAGAAAGAAAGAGAGAGAGAGAAAGGTAGTCGGAATCGAGTTATTCTTCTTCTCTTAAGGTCTTCNAGAGAGAGAGAGAGAGAGAGAGAGAGAGAGAGAGAGAGAGAAAGAATTCAAGGGAGGAGAAAGAAAGAAAGAAAGAAAGAAAGAGAGAGAGAGAAAGGTAGTCGGAATCGAGTTATTCTTCTTCTCTTAAGGTCTTCCTCTCCTCGAGACGAAGGGGGCACCTGTGTTACTCGAGGTACAGCCCGGCCATTACCGGAGAATGTTGCCCGAGGACTAACACTAGCCCTCTTCATGCATCCACCCATTCGAGTTCATCGGGGATCGATCCTATCCACTGTGATCGCACGTTCCTCTTCCTCTTTCTTCTTTATCCCCCTACTCTTCCTCCACCTCCTCCTCTTTCTCCTCACCCTCGTCCTTTCATTCCCGTCCTTTCATACTCGTACAATATTTCTATCTTCCATCACTTTTCTATCCATTTTTTCTTCCTCTTCTTCCATTGCCCCCTACCCCTACCCCCCATCTCTCACCACCTCCCAACACCACCCCATGTTAGAATGTATATATAAATGCAATAATACACATGCACATATTATAATATGCACTTTTAAAGTTTTTATTTCTGTTCTTTTTTGTTTTTATTTCCCCTGCCCCTCCCCCCAGCCTTCCCTTCCCCCTATAGAAAAAACGATTAGACTAGTTTTATCGGTTCCCGATCGAGCCCCGGCAACTTTGATATGAAAGAGTGCACGCGTGTCCTTTCTTTAACCGGTGCATAAGTATTTGCGTGGACGGTACTTTTTGTCGGGAGTGATTTTTCGAGTCCGACGGTCCTGTTCTCCCCACCTCGATAAAGTCTCCCTCCTCCCTCCCACCCTCTCTTTCTCTCTCTCACTCTTTCTTTCTCACCCAGCCTCCCTCGACGGGTACTCTTTCTCCTCTGACTTTACCTACACGGAGCAAGACTCCACACGTGTGCGCAAAAATTCACCGCGAAGGCCGGAATTCGCAAAAACAGGGGGAAGGGGGATGGGACCCCTCCTTCTCCTCCTCCTCCTAGCGCGAACGACGGAAAATACCCTATTCGTTTCTTTTTATTTTAGGGGGGGGGAGGGAATCGTTCTTTTCTTTTTTTCTTTAAATCCAAACAGCGTACCACGAACTGTCGCTTTTAATTCTATTATTTTCCTTTCCTGCCTACCAACCCCCCACACCCACCACCAATTTGAATTTCAACTTTTGACAATAAACGTAAGAATTATTCGTTAACGTTACGATAACAAAAAATTGGGTAAAAGGAAATTGGGTAAGAAAGAAAAAAAGAATTAAATCATCAAGTTAGAATAAAATAAGACACGTCGATAAGTGTGCAAGATCCCCTTATTCTCTGAGGGATCAATGAAGGACAGGAAGGAAGGAAGGAAGGAAGGAAGGAAGGAAGGAAGGAAGGAAGGAAGGAAGGAAGGAAGGAAGGAAG